AGTCAGGTAGAGTATTCCAGACATTGACCACTCTGTTGCTGAGGTCGTATTTCGTGCAATCAAGTTTGGTGCAATTTACCTTGAGTTTGTATCTATTGTGTACTCTTGTATTGTTATGGTTGAAGCTGAAGTATTCATTGACAGGTAGGACATTGTAATGTATGATTTTATATACTATACTTAGATCAGACTGAAGGCAGCGAAGTTCTAAGTTTTCTTGGTCTAGAATTTCAAGTCTGGTGGCATAAGGTATTCTGCAACGAGTAGAGAGTGGAAAACTCTTCTTGTGAAATATTTCTGGACTTTCTCAACTGTGTTAATATCAGATATGTAATGTGGGTTCCAGACTGATAAGCCGTATTCAAGTATTGGTCTTTTATATGCTCTAGTTAGTAGTGTGATATTACCAGAGAAAAAGCTGCGCAGGATTAGGTTAACAATTCTTAATGCCTTTTTGGCTATGTAGTTACAGTGGCTCTAGCACTTAGATCATTAGAGTTGAGTACTCCAAGGTCCTTGACAGAGTTTGGATCATCAACAAGGTCTTGACTATTCAGCTTGTATTTTATTTTCTATATACCTGCCCATCTTACTAAACGTGATTCTAGTGAATGTACTACCCACAACAATTATCCACAATATAGCTATGAAAAAAAATTCAACATAAATAAGAAACAAGTTTGTGGTAAAATAACACTTAAGCACAATGCAGCAATATCACAGGCTCCCCAGGAGATCCTCGGGGTTGTTGAAACATCCACATTTTAAGGACTTTCCAGAAACCTAACAGGGATGGACTAACCTTATTCTGGGTCAGGGATGTTGTAGAGATTGGGAACCACAGCCAACAAAAAATTTCTTCTGGATCCTCTGAGGTGGAACTCTAGAACACAAAACCCAGAACATATGTCTCCTGCTGGATCTTATGGAATGGATATATATGATTAGGAAAAGGCAGTCCATAAAGTAACTTTGTTCTTGGGAGCAGACCAACAGCCAATGTAGTTAATCACTGCCTTTTTCAAAAATATTTTTTTTAATTCTTCCTGTATAATTTTTATAAATAACTCCAGGTGGTGGACACATAAAATACTCCTTACTCCATGTACATTCTCCACAACAACAACTCTGTAAGGTGAGTTGGACTGAGAGAGACCCAAATTCAGCCAGCTGGTTTTCATGCCTAAAGTGGGATTAGAACACTGAGTCTCCTGGTTTACAGCCTATTACTGTATGAAAAACAAAAAACAAACAAACCAGAGCAGAGCAAATTATTTTCACAACACATTGCAGGTTCTTTGAGCATTCAAGGCTCAAAAAGCAAACAGCAAGAAATCCATTACCACATAAAAGTGGGAGAGAAAGATATAAGATTTAAATTTTAGGAGATTACATATTTTAGTCTGGAGTGGTAGATTCTAATCTTCTTTGTTCTTAAGGCAATAAAGCATTGTCCTGACTGTTCTGCTACTAGCTACTGCAGTTTCATCTTTGGCACTCTATACACCGTTAAATTATCTCATTACAGCTTAATTCCAAGTTCAGTCTCAGATCTTTAATAAGGATATAGGAATTGCATTACGGATGAGTTTATCACAGAGACAAATGATCCACAGAAATTAAAAAAGAAATACTAGCAATTCTTAAAGTTTACTGAATATAGAAATGCTTATTCAAGCATGTATGATTGCTTGGTTATAAAATCATATTACTGGAGAATGTCACAAATATTAACATAAAGTTTTGTTTTGAATCTTTAATATATAGGATGTGCAAAGTACCAGAAAAAGCTTCAGTTTTATGCAGTTCATTTAAACAACGGCAATCCCCCAAATGAACTGTTGTGGTAAAATCAAATTTTATGCAAATCTAAATTGTTTCAGGATACAAATAATTAGGAGTACCTCCTATCATTCCCAAAAGATAGAAAAGTGAATCTGTGATAGCAAGCTAAAGAGATTATATTGTACAGTTGCATCTGAAACAGTTATTAGTATAGGAAAACTGCTTGTCATTATCAAAATGAAAAGTAAATTAAAATATAAGAACAAATAATCCTTGGTATTTAAGGGCATGTATATTCCATCCTCCTTAGCTAGTCTTTTGTTCCTTAGCTGAACCTCCCTTAAGACTGGAAGATCATTGCAGTGTCCTTTGATTCAAAACCAAGAATCTTGCAGCTGAAGAAACTGCACTGATATAAACAGAGAGAAGCTGTTAATAAATCAAGCATTTCATTCACAGTACTTCACCTTATGTTACTTTCTGTCTCCCCCAAGACAATTCATAAAAAACATCATGTTCTGTTTAACTGAGGGTAAAATAATGCTGACTTCAGCCCTGCTTACATACAAGATTTTCCATAAATGTCAGATCTGATGTTTTAACAGAAGGTTCAAATTGTGTTTAAATAATTATTCTGATCCTTCCTTTGGGATGCTATTCATACAAACAGGTGAAAAAGTGTACCTAATGCAAAATGGTTAGCATTGCTTCATCAGAATTCTTCATGTTTTGGTGTTATCACACAATGCTTTTTTTTATGACTGATGAGTGGTTTGCCAATGAAAAATGTAGTACAAGATTCAGATTTCTCCCTGAAATAATCACAGTAAGTTTCTAAAAGAGAACCACCGTCATTTATAGAAACACTGCAATGAGTTTAAAGTTCAACTCAGCTGTATATTCAGCTGATGGACAGATCTTATACTTGGTTACCCATCTGTAAAATAGAAAGTGGTTTGGCTTCACAGAGTACAAATATATGGGGAGATAATGTATTCTGTATATTATGAAGGTCACTGTAATGACAAGGTATAGTTCTGAGTTCTGAGAAGATATAGCCATGTTTGCCTGTGTCAGCAAACATAACAGAAAAGCCTATGTGATTTGTAGAAATGACATAATTTCTTTTTGTTTTTAGGCAAGGAAAGATGGAAGCATTGGGTGAAACCTACATTTATCCATGAAATTCAGTTTTCCTTGGCACTTCAATACCTCTTATCTTAAGCATATGTTGCATTGATAGAATTGGTACAAAGGGGTAGATACACACTGCAGATACAGTTCATATCAAAATGTAAACATGTACACTGGCATCATGAAACAAAACTCTACCCTTATGTAAAGTAGTTGGATAAAAGTATTTAGATCACATTTTTTGCACCCAAACACTTGTTTTTTTTTCATTTGTTCTACCTATTCCACTGTGGATGCTGAGATCTTAGAAATTATATATGTAGACATACACTTCTTTAAATTAAATAAATATGGGGGCACCTAATGTAGAATGCCCACAAAGCAGTAAAAGATAGACTAAATATGTTATGACACATTTCAGAAATGGTGTTTAGTTGAAGGTGACTTTATCAACATTTCTCTATTCTTTATAAAGCTGAAAATTATCCAGTTCTATTGGTGTTATAACTTACAGTAAACTGCAAGTCAGAGACATTGCTTTAATATGTTTTTCATTATAAACTAATAGTATTAATTCTTCAAGGATTCTGGTAAAATTAATTATTTAGTACTAACTTTGAATTTTTTACTTTTATCTCTCAGATTGGATTAATTTTGAAAGGTACTTTGAGTTTTTAACTGGAAAACTACATAAAATAGCTTTTGCTTTGTTTTATCCTTATCTTTCTTGTGAGATTGCTGTCAAAATAAAAACTGTCCTGGTTAATCTGCAATTTTCTGTATCTTTCTTTCCCCCTCTCTCCACCACTTTTTTTTTAAAAAATAAGAGCAATATTTGGTCTCCATCAGTCATCTGAAATTTACCTTTTCTACAGATTGAACAGATGCTTGTAATAAAAGCCTCAGCCAAGCTTCACCACTATGTAATTTCACTGCACTAAAGATAACTGGGCTACAGAAACTATATCAATAGACTTTTATCATTTGCTGGTGTTTTATGCCTTGTTGAAGATAAGAGAAAGAAGCATAATGTCTTCACTGATTAACAAATCTGTCTTAAAATCAAAATGATTCTTGCCATCAGTCCATTACTGATATCTCCATTTGTATTATTTTGGATGGGTGAAAAGATATGAAGTGAAGATAGATTTTATTTTCACCTGTATTTATTTAACTTCACTATTGTCCAGACTCTTGTCATGAATGATAGCAATTTCTGTAGCAGATAGGGATTTTGACAGATTTATTTTACCTTCATGCTCATTCCTATTCCCATTTGACCCTCTTTTAGTCAGCTTATTTTTGAATTTCCATCACTTTCAAGTTTTTACTTCTTTTGCAAACATATATTATTCCAATCATTAATATATTAATCTCTTCAATTTGACTTAGTCTTATGTTTTTAGTTATGTCTTAAATGTGCATTATTTTAAAGTTTCTTTTCTTTTTTACTATAAGATTATTGATAAAATGGTTGTATATTATTGTTCTTCCTTTGTCCTTAGAAACAATGAAATTTTTTTCTCTCCAAGGACTCTACTAATAACTATGTCTACATATTATTAAAATATTAGGCCTATTACACATCCCTACACTTTTGAACCTGTACTGAATACTGAGATTGAAAATGAGCCAAGCAGAGATGTGCTCAGTAATTACTGAGAATTACTGAGAGCTTTGGGAATGTTGCCAAAGTTGTTTTAAAAAGCTATTGTGGTGAAAAGAAAAACTGCAGCTCAAAGTGTCTCTGATGAATTGTGTTTCGTTTTCTCTGAAGGGAGAGAATTGGAGCAAATAATCATTCAGATTAATGCTAGATAATCAATCTACTTCCAGAGCCTAACACAGAATATTTGGGGTGTTATCTGCATGCTTTTTGAAAAAGTGCTGCCCCCAAATGAAATAACCATTTGAAATGATAGTAATCTACTTCTGGCAATTTCAGTTTTGTCATAGTTCTTCAGTTTAATATCAATTAATATATCAACAACATTATGATCTTTTGAATTAATGCAAATAAAACATGCCTACAGTTTTTGATTATTATTATGATTTTTCAATGGAATGTATTTTCTTTTTAGTGGGATGCTATAACAGAAATGGATGAATATAATCGTCCTATCCACACATACCAGGTATGTAATGTTATGGAACCCAACCAAAACAACTGGCTTCGTACAAATTGGATCTCGCGTGATGCTGCCCAGAAAATTTATGTGGAAATGAAATTTACACTGAGGGACTGCAACAGCATTCCATGGGTGCTGGGGACATGCAAAGAAACATTCAACCTTTACTATCTGGAATCAGATGAATCCCATGGAATTAAATTCAAGCCAAACCAATACAGCAAAATTGATACTATTGCAGCTGATGAGAGTTTTACTCAGATGGATTTGGGAGATCGCATCCTGAAACTGAATACAGAAGTTCGTGAAGTGGGACCAATAAACCGTAAAGGATTTTTTCTTGCCTTCCAAGATATTGGGGCATGCATTGCTTTGGTTTCTGTCCGGGTTTACTACAAAAAGTGTCCTTTCACTGTTCGGAACTTGGCTATGTTTCCTGACACCATTCCAAGGGTTGATTCTTCTTCTTTAGTGGAAGTACGAGGTTCCTGTGTGAAGAGTGCTGAAGAACGGGATACTCCAAAGTTATATTGTGGAGCTGATGGCGATTGGCTAGTTCCTTTAGGACGATGCATATGCAGTGTTGGCTATGAAGAAGTGGATGGTTCATGCCATGGTAAGACAATTGTTTTAATTAAATTTCAAGACAAGTTTTGAGCTATGCTCAACCATATGGGTTATAATCCAGCTTTTAACTGAATTTCATTTATCAACAGAGAATGCATTAAATTCATTATATATTTAATTGCTGGATGAAGTTCATATACTGAAAACAAGTATGTCATCAATGAAGAATGATGAAAACTTCATTTACAGACAAAATGTTTACTCGTAGAAAAATATATAAAATGGAATTGTTCATTGTTATTTGCTCTTAAGAAGAGATATTTTGATATTTTGCTCTGTAGAATCATTAATCTTAGTGATTAGAATCATGGACAATTTTTTTTCAAATCAGAGTATGATCTTTAATTTCATATATATATATATATATATATATATATATATGGATCTTTGGTTGTTCGGGTTTTCTCCCGCGTAAGATTCAAAGTATCTAGGCAACGTTTCGATGAAGTCTCATTCATCATCTTCAGGCTTCTGTCTCCGGCTCTGTGCTTCTCAGAGTAATGTGAGATTGCAGCTGCTTCCTCCTTTTAACTGCCAGTGGGGGTGGGACTTGATTGGGTGGGGGCTTGGCTGTGTTCTGATTGGGTGGGGGTGTGTTCTCATTGGTAGGGGGTTTGGCTGTGTTCTGATTGGTTGGGGGGTTAGCCGTGTTCTGATTGGTTGGAGGCGTGTTCTGTTCAGGTGGGGGCTTGGTTGTGCTCAGGTTAGTCTTAGTTGCTAGGGGATTTGAGCTGGTGAGTTGTGATCTTGCTGTTTGGCTTCTAGTACGTGGTCCTGCTGCATCTTCATAGTGGGTGTCGGTTTGCTTCATGTATGGCTCAGAGGGGTTTGAAGTGGGTAGTGATGCAGCTGCAGTGCAGCTTCTGGTCCATGGTCGTGTCTCATTTTCTGAATGGGTGGGAGTCTGTTTTCTATATGGAAGTGTGGTGGTGGCATCTTGTGTGGCTCTCATGGGTGTGGGTCTGGTGTCCTTCTTCATGTTAGGTACTCGTCTGTTCATGAGGGCGGGTTTCCAAATGGCTGGAAGGCGGGAGGTGTCATCTCGTTTGTTCATGCTGTGTGGGCGTTTTTCTATCTCTATGGCTTCTCTGATTATTCTGCTGTTGAAGTGTTCGGTTTTGGCGATAGTTCTGGTATTTTTAAAATCAATTTCATGTCCTGTGGCTTTGAGGTGTTGGACCAGGGAAGAGGTCGTTTCTTCTTTTTTGATTGAGTTCTTATGTTCTTCAATGCGTGCACTTATTCTTCTGTTAGTTTGTCCAATGTATGTGGTAGGGCAGGCAGTGCAGGGGATTTCGTATACTCCTTGGTTTTCTAATTCGATTTTGTCTTTGGGGTTTCTTAGGATGGTGGATATTTTTCTGTTTGTGCAGAATGCTGTTTTGATGTTGTGTTTTTGGAGGATCTTGCTAATTTTGTCTGTAGTGCCTTTTATATATGGGAGGAGGGCTTTGCCGTTTTCTTGTTCTCTGTCTTGGATTTTGGTTGGGGTTTCTTTTTGGATTAGGTGGGAAGCAGCTGCAATCTCACATTACTCTGAGAAGCACAGAGCCGGAGACAGAAGCCTGAAGATGATGAATGAGACTTCATCGAAACGTTGCCTAGATACTTTGAATCTTACGCGGGAGAAAACCCGAACAACCAAAGATCCACATACAAATACCCGCGAGAACCTCAGAAAACAAATATATATATATATATAGCATTCAGCTTTGTTTGGGTATTTTCCCACATCATTGTAGTTGTGCTTTTAAAGTTGTAGCAACGTTTCGGCAGAATCTCATCTGCCATCATCAGGCTTCTGTATAGTGTTCATCTGTGAGTCAGGCTTTTATAGTGGTTTCAGATTTAAATTTTGGGCAGCCTATTGCTGTGCCAGAATGTTTTTTTCTTCACCCTGATTGGTTGGGAGTCTTGGTCTGTGTTTATTGGTCTTGGAGTTTGCTGTGTTCTGCTTGATTGGTGTTTATAATATCTTCTGTCTGTTTTTTTTGGCTCTTTTTGTATCTTGATTGGCTGGCAACATTGTGTTACTTTATTGGAGGCATTTAGTGCAGCTGGGCTCTGGGTAAATGGATGGCTATCATTAGTTAGGAAGCTAGGTTTCATCTGGGTGCCTAGTTGGGGTGTGTTTGAGCTGGAGGTATCGGGGGGATCTATCTGTGCCCAGGTGTTTGCCTGGCTTGTGGTGTGGAGATTTTTTTGTTAGTGAGTGCAGGCTTCCAAATGATTGACAGTCTAGTGGAATCATCTCTTCTATTCATGCTTTCTGGTCTTTTTTCAATCTCTATGACTTCCCTGATGATTCTGTGGCTGGAGTTTTCTATAGTGGCTAGGGTTTTGGTGCCATTGAAGTTGATGCTATGACCTGTGGCTTCCATGTGTTGGACTAGTGAGGAAGTGTGTTCCAGCTTTTTGACTGCATTTTTGTGTTCATCCAGGCGGGTACTTATTCTTCTGTTGGTCTGTCCAATGTATGTGGCCGGGCATGATGCACAGGAGACTTCGTATATGCCTTGGTTTTCCAGGTCAATTTTATCTTTGGGGTTTCTAAGGATGGTTGCTATTTTTCTGTGTGTTGAAGGCAGTCTTGATGTGATGTCTATGCAGTATCTTACTAATTTTGTCTGTAGTACCTCTTATGTAGGGCAGGACAGCTGTTCCATAGGTCTGTTCATCTTCTGGGTCTCTATTATGTCTCAGTGTGTTTTTGTGGATCAAGCCGGTGATTTTACTTTTGTGGAAGCTGTTGGCTGTCAGTACCTTAGTCAGGGTGCATAGTTCAGTCTTAATGTGTATCTTGTCTGCCAGGCGTTTGGTTCTAGTAATTAGTGTTTTAGCCACGGAGTTTATCTGTGCTGGGTGGTGGTGGGATTGGGCGTTGAGGTAGCGGTTAGTGTGTGTTTTCTTCTGGTATATGTTGTGTCCTAGTGTGCCATCTGTTTTTGTGTCCTAGTGTGCCATCTGTTTTTCTAGGAATGGTAGTTGTCAAAAACAGTCAGAAAAATAGCAGCCATCCTTAGAAACCCCAAAGATAAAACTGACCTGGAAAACCAAGGCATATACGAAATCCCCTGTGCATCATGCCTGGCCACATACATTGGACAGACCAATAGAAGAATAAGTACCCACCTGGATGAACACAAAAATGCAGTCAAAAAGCTGGAACACACTTCCTCACTAGTCCAACACATGGAAGCCACAGGTCATAGTATCAATGTCAATGGCACCAGAACCCTAGCCACTATAGAAAACCCCAGCCACAGAATCATCAGGGAAGCCATAGAGATTGGAAAAAGACCAGAAAGCATGAATAGAAGAGATGATTCCACCAGACTGTCAATCATTTGGAAGCCTGCACTCACTAACAAAAAAATCTCCACACCACAAGCCAGGCAAACACCTGGGCACAGATAGATCCCCCCTGATACCTCCAGCTCAAACATATCCCAACCAGGCACCCAGATGAAACCTAGCTTCCTAACTAATGATAGCCGTCCATTTACCTGGAGCCAAGCTGTACTAAAGGCCTCCAATAAAGTAACACAATGTTGCCAGCCAATCAAGATACAAAAAGAGCCAAAAAAACCAGACAGAAGATATTATAAACACCAATCAAGCAGAACACAGCAAACTCCAAGACCAATAAACACAGACCAAGACTCCCAACCAATCAGGGTGAAGAAAAAACCATTCTGGCACAGCAATAGGCTGCCCCAAATTTAAATCTGAAACCACTATAAAAGCCTGACTCACAGATGAACACTATACAGAAGCCTGATGATGGCAGATGAGATTCTGCCGAAACGTTGCTACAACTTTAAAAGCACAACTACAATGACGTGAGAAAATACCCGAACAAAGCTGAATGCCATACATGTAAGTACCCGCGAAAACTTAAGAAAAATATATATATATGTATATGTATATATATGTGATACGATATGATACTATACTATATTTTCTATACTATATATTATTATATTGATGGAAAGAATAATGTTTCCTAAGAAAAAGAAATTGATTTTTTAATGGATGAAAATGTTTGTTCATAACTGTATTAAGACTGGTATTGTTTTAAACTACATAGAATTTCATAGCTTAATCCTGCAGTTACGAAGATCTTTCACTAAATTGAATTTATGCTGGTGATTAGATATATTAGCCACTTGGATGTTTGTTTTGATAAAAAAGGTTGCATGGAACTACCGTGTTTCTCAGAGACCTTTTTTTTTTTTTTGAGTCCCTAAAAAATGGCTAGGCCGTCTTTTGGCGTGACTTAATTTCCTCCCCCACCTAGAGCAGCCCATACACATGTACCTCTCCATGAGGCTGTTTCTATTGGCTAACAAAAGCTCCTTTGAAGGCAGAGTCCCCAGCTGCTTTGGGGTGAGGCATGGCTGTCCGTGTCCCCTCACCATCAGGCAGTGTCTTTCGGGCGATGGAAGCTCCCCAATGGCAGTCAGCAGCCACTTCAATCAGCGGATAGAAACAGCCTCGCGGAGAGGGGAGTGTGCATGTACGCTCACTCCAAGGCCACTTCTATCGGCTGATCAAAGTGGCTGGTGACTGCACTTGGGGAGCTTCCATTGCCCGAAAGACACTGCCTAATGACAAGGGGACACGGGCAGCCATGCCTCGCCCTGAAGCGGCTGGGGACTCTGCCTTTGGGGAGCTTCTATCAGCTGATGTTCTATTGTTAGATTGGGGTATTCTAGCCTAGGCTACCTGCAGGGCACTCCTAAAGACAAGTTTTCTCCCCCCGATCCTTTCCCCCAATTTCTCTTCACCTCATGTAGTTCTAACGAATGATGTGAGAAATGGCGGGGAAACGCATGGATTAAATAGGCCTAAATTTTGGGGGTGGGGCTTAATTTCACCTCATGCCTAGAAATCATGCTGGGCCTTCCTATTGGTGGAGACCGTATTGTTGGAGAAACACAGTAGATAAGCTTCAATGTATGATGAACCTCTCACAATTTATGCAAG